TGTGAGATAGACTTACCTCCAAGTGGTGCACCCTGGCCAACGTATACTCATGCGGCAAAAAGTCTATTAACCGGCAGTTGACTCCTTACTTCAAACTACAATGGCCCCACTGTATGTCATATTCTGCCACTTCTACAATACTCATCTCTTTTTCCCTGCCTTTGTGTCTGTCTGTCTGTCTCTTTTACATCTGAATCTCTCTTCTGCTTCCCCTCTCGAATTTTTCCCACTTTGATGTTCCTTCATCTCTGTGAAGCTCGAAATCACCCAAAGGGCTAATAATAATTGTCAAAACGCCTGCCATTCGATATAAATAAATAAATATCTTAGAGGTTGTTGTTTATATAATTTTAGGAAGATATAGAAGCCGATGCTGTGAAATTTTCTGCTATTAATTCTTTCATTTACACGAATTTATGCGCCTCATAAGTTTCACTTCAAATTGTCTATTTTTAAAACTAGATTTCTATTAGAAATCACTCTAGCCTAAATTTGTTCCCTACATTTGCTAGGTCACTTTCAAAGTAAAGAGAACACGGAACGTGAATAGTGAAAACGTTAACTGCATGCGTTGGCAAAATAGCCAACTTCCTTATACTTTAAATATAGTTGATGTTAGTCAATGTTGCATAAATTTGATTGCTGATTGGCTGCTAAACACACCGCACTTTCCAGAATTTTCGAGTGAAGATGAGCATTGGTAGTTATATGGACTCCTTAGTACTCCCCTCTAAAGAGTGTTGTGAGCTTGATAAGTGTAATGTTTAGCAGAATAGATTTCACTTTCTACAAGAGTTTTGTAGGGATGTTAAGTGGTTATGGGGTGGCAGGGATGAGAATTGGAGTTTCGACAGCATGATAGTGAAGTTACTGAATTCTGCTGACAGCTTCAGTTACTTCATTGAGGATACTTCTGTAAATGCTATCAGCCAGATATGCTGTCATTTTTTTTCAGGAAGACTGTTCATCCAAAATTTTTGCAGATTTGATTCGTCTATCTCGATTTTTTTCTTAAAAGGGATCACATATGGCGGAGAAGATGAGAAGGACCGCGCCTTCCATGTTTTCCACTGGATATTAGGCTAAGGCAGCTTGAATACCGACAATAAAGCTACTCTAACCCTCTAATGTCTGAATTATTTTCTGAAAAATCCACCAAACCACACTCATGTGTTTCTCATAGCTGACCGATGTCGCCTATTGGTGAGTTTTGATGATATCTGGCGAAGGCTATAGACGCATTGAACTTATTTCAAACGCCAATAATACCCTGCGTTATGAGTCTAGAGATTATTTTGAAAGAGAATCGTACTGCCCTAAGAGCATTAAAGGGCCAAATGTCGGAAGAGTTCGATTGTAAAATCCTCCTTTGAAACGAAATATCTTCCTAAAGGCTAGCAGGATATAGAGAAATGGAGGATCAGGATGAAAGTGCTACTGGTGTGATGTATGAATCGGCAGAGGGCATTTAGAACTGGAGATGAGCAAATTCGAATAGCTGACAGCAGATACTCATCGGCCAGGATGCAATGACCCAGTGAGTGAACAGCACCATTTTTGCCATAACTGAGTATTTGATTGCAGGTCATGAGTGACGAAGAATTTCAGATGACTCTAAGATTGGCCGATTCACAGTGGGAAAATGTAGAATCAGTTACTAGGAAAAATGGCATGGAAAGGTTTGAGGCCTAGGAACTGCTAATGAAAATCAAGTTGAAACTATTAGAGAAAAAATGTGACGAGGAGGCTTGTTACACGTGTATTATATAAATATATTAGTATGAGAAAGGAAAGAAGAAGTTTTGGGAAATGGAAAACGTCTATGTACTGGGTGACGGCAACATGAGTTGTGATATAGAGGGATTATTGAGGTAGGATAATGTGATTGACATTGTTCTTTGTTCATCCATAAGCAGCCAATAGAAAATAATCCACTTTCAGTTAGCAGGCACAGAGGTCTACATTAATTCTTGCTATGGTTAAGGTGATTGCATGTATCACTGGTAATATTTATTTTAATTTGTCTCTCCATGCAATTAACTTTCCTTTTCACTGCTCTGAAGACCGCGACCTTACAAAGCCATAATACTCCCTACGCTCAATCCAACTCATCCCATTAGCCTTGCATTTATGGTTGTGTTGGGAATTATTGCAAGCGAACAACTTTACTTCGCTTTGGTAGAAGGCCATCAGGACACGAAAGTAAAACATTTCCCAAATACTGCAAAGCGAAATAAATTTTTATTGTGGAATAGATCATAACATGATAAAGATTTCAAATGTCAGGCGTTTTGATAGTTATCATTAGCCCTTTAGCTGGCTTCGGGCTTCACAAAGGGGAGGAACATCAAAGTGAGAAAAATTCGAAAGGAGGAAGCTATCACACACCCCAGGGAGGAACATCAAAGTGAGAAAAATTCGAAAGGAGGAAGAGAAGAGTGATTCACAGATGTAAAAGAGACAGACAGACAGACAGACACAAAGGCAGAGAAAAGTAAGGTGAGTACTGTGAGTCGCAGTGTGTGAGTACTGTGAAAATGATCGAATATGACATGGAGTCAGCGAGTACTGTGGAAGTAGTCGAATATGACATACAGTGGGGCGAGTGCTGTTGAAGGGGTTGAATATGACAAGCAGTCGGGCTGATTGGTAGTTTGAAGTGAGAAGTCAACTGCCGGTTGATAGACGTAGTTTGAAGTCAGAAGTCAACTGCCGGTTGATAGACTTGTTAGTTTGAAGTGAGAAGTCAACTGCCAGTTAATAGACTTGTACCGTTAAAGTAATAGAGTGGGGTGATGGTAGTTTGAAGTCAGAAGTCAACTGCCGATCAATAGACTTTTTGCAAGTCAGAAGTCAACTGCCGATCAATAGACTTTTTTGTCTTTGAAGTCAGAAGTCAACTACCGTACAGTGGGGTCATGGTAGTTTGAAGTGAGAAGTCAACTGTAGGTGAGGTGAGTACTGTGGAAGTAGTCGAATATGACACAGTAAGGTAAGATGATTACTGTGAAAGGGGTCGAATATGACATAAGTGAGGTGATGGTAGTTTGAAGTGAGAAGTCAACTGCCTTAGTCGAATATGACATACAGTGGGGTCAGAGTCAACTGAAGGTAGAAAAAAGGCGAGGTGAGTACTGTGGAAGTGGTGAAATATGACATACAGTGGGGTGATGGTAGTTTGAAGTCAGAGGTATATGACATACAGTGGGGTGATGGTAGTTTGAAGTGAGAAATAGGTAGAAAAAAGGTGAGGTTAGTACTGTGGAAGAAGTCGACAGTAGAGCAAAGGTGAGGTGAGTACTGTGGAAGGGGTCGAATTTGACATACAGTGGGGTGATGGTAGTTTGAAGTGAGAAGTCGAAGAGAAAAGGTAAGATGAGTACTGTTGAAGTGGTCGAATTTAAGAAAAAAGGTGAGGTGAGTACTGTGAAATGGTCGAATATGGACAAAGGTGAGGTGAGTACTGTAAAAATAGTCGAATATGATATAGAGTGGGGTGATGGTAGTTTGAAGTCAGAAGTCAACTGCCGATCAATAGACTTTTTGCAAGTCAGAAGTCAACTGCCGATCAATAGACTTTTTTGTCTTTGAAGTCAGAAGTCAACTACCGTACAGTGGGGTCATGGTAGTTTGAAGTGAGAAGTCAACTGTAGGTGAGGTGAGTACTGTGGAAGTAGTCGAATATGACACAGTAAGGTAAGATGATTACTGTGAAAGGGGTCGAATATGACATAAGTGAGGTGATGGTAGTTTGAAGTGAGAAGTCAACTGCCTTAGTCGAATATGACATACAGTGGGGTCAGAGTCAACTGAAGGTAGAAAAAAGGCGAGGTGAGTACTGTGGAAGTGGTGAAATATGACATACAGTGGGGTGATGGTAGTTTGAAGTCAGAGGTATATGACATACAGTGGGGTGATGGTAGTCAGAAGTCAACTGCCGGTTTATAGACTTTTTTGCCGTTTGAGTATACGTTGCCCAAGTTACCTCCACGTGGAGGTAAGTCTATTGCACACCCCAAATGATAAAGACAGACTAATGGAAATAGTGCCTTACAAGGCCGCACTGGAGGTTGTTGCGGTTGATGGAGTCCAGCTAGAACTCTATGCACTCTCTTAATTGGCTTTCTTTATCTTGCAGGATTTATGTCAATTAGTTAGTCCTTAACTAACTCATATTTAGCCCATCGATCGGAATTAATTTTGTGCTCTCACTTCTAAAAGTTATGTCGCTGCTTTCAGTTCCCCTTTTACGAGCACCTCGTAATTATCACCATGTAAATTTTTCCAAATGGGTATAACAAATACGTCGTTGAGTCGTTAATAGCCTTTTTGCAAAAGTTTATGTTTATGATATAATGTTCTCTAAATTGACTTATTTTAACTGGCTCGCACCTGTATCACCAACGTTGAGTAGGGAACGAAATGTACAGATATTGCCAAGGTATTAATTGTCGGTGCCTATCGATTTAAAAATAACTCCGTAGTGATCTTTCAATATTTCAAGTCATTAAATGAGTACTACCTCCATTCCAAACTGCACATAATTAGATTCTTAGCAAAATAAATAAGGGTAAAGTAGAAGTACCCTTTCATTTACGCACTACTAACTGGCATTAAAGTAATACCCCCAGACTCAGCTTTTGGTAACTAGTATTTTTCCAGCTTTGGAATAATTCTAGACCGATTCTTATACTAACTTCAATAAGCGTTCCTTTGGTTAAAATAATTGAGTGCATGCATTGCTAATTCCGGGCAATTCTCAACTGAAGGAAAGCATTAAACTCGCCCAAGAAAATCTGACTTGAGAAAAGCCTCCAGAATACTAGAATCTCAAACCATTCAGAGAAAGAAAATAGACTCATATACGATCGCGAGAAAAGATGTACCTTAGGGAAAATTTTAACAGATCACATCATCACAAAATATTAATGCAAGGAGAGGAAAATATAAATAAAATAGTAGCAAAACTCCGTGATGTTTAAAGACGCAGAGAGAACATCTCAATGACTTTTCTCCTGACTTAATTGGAGATTTCTGCGGTCGATAACATCCAAGCCAGCAATATTGACAGACGCAGCGTAGAGATGAACGAGGCTGATAAAGGTCTTGAGAAGAGCAATCGGCAGACTCAAAAAGAGAAGCCAATAGAAGACTCCCAACCCGAGAACTAAAAAAAATTTGAAAATTTATTTTATTTATGTAACACCTTGAAAATAATTTTTAGAGACACTAAAGCCTGGTAATAACATTCATCAATACGAATTCAGCATTTGACCTGATCAAACAAAGAGCAGTTGTTACAAGCTTCACAATTAGGAAAATTGAAGATGTGCATTACTTTATTCAAAAGAGGGATTCGGTGATGTTTTTGTTTCTGGCATATCTGCAGAACACTAAAAAATTGGGGAAATTTTGGGAATTCTTGTTTACAACCATAATAGCCAAGGCATGAGAGGACACAGACATCTTGACACAATGGTAGGCACACATCCATAAGACATTAAGTTCGGCACCATCCCACACTAGCAAACTGGACCTTTGCGGTCACGTTAGTAAATGCTGTTTAAGACCGAGAGTTAAGAATTAACCTTTTAGATAAACTAGCATAGTCATCGATTGGTATTCTTTTATGAGATACGGTCTTAAGAGTGAAACACAGTATTCAATACAGTGCTCGGAAATCATGCAAATTATGTAAAGTACTTACATCTGGGACCTTCAAAGAAGTGGAGTAGGTAGAGCATACCGTAGAACAACTCGTTTCCTGCACACATTCCAAACAAAACCTTCTATAAACAGAAAAAGAAAGCATGCGAAGCATACACATTACAGTTTTGAATAAACAAATTAATTCAGATTATCTGCATACCCTATTAGTATAATAGACTCGAAGAAGTGGATTTCCAGTAAGATCTATCGCCTTATGACTGCTGGAACCGCCCTGAATGGATGAGTGAACATGTAGCCAATGGCTGGCAATATCGATTGTTGCTGAAATTTGGAAAAGGAACAGACAACGGGGATAAAATGTTCCAAGAACAAAGAGCAAGCACATTGTTGTACAACGATCGCTCAGCATATCAAGCATGGCACCAAATTTTGTACCTGAAGAAAAGATAATAATGTAGAAAGTGGGCATTTAAACTATAGCAGCACTATTGGCAATTGCTAAACCATACTTTGATTAAGAAATCTAGCAGCATGACCATCGACCGCATCAAGAAGTGCCGAGAGAAAATAAGTTATGATTGCTCGAATTGGATTTGAAGGCATATACCAACAAGAGGCTATTAGAAGAAGTATCCTGGCATAGCCTATGGAAAAAATAGAGAAATTAAATATACCCTGAATAGGTGATGAAAAATTATAAAAATGAATATAAATAATTCGTAAAAGATAATACTTGCTAAGAAGTCAAAACAACATACCAATAAGGTTCGGAACAAAAAGAAAAATATTCTCCGTCATTTGCGATGGCTTGACCGAAAGAAGAGAACGCTAACA